CCAACTCCTACGGCACGCCCGGATATCGAGCCAACCGTCTTCACGCGTCTGACAAATCCCATAGTGCTACTACCGAGTGTGTCAGTCTTAGTGTCCTATTAGTTCATGCAACTTAAGATGTGGGAGCACGAGAGCAACGTCCTCCTCTTGCTCGCCTCGTGCCATTATGTGCCATGTGAAAACCCCGAATACGATGGCTCAGGCGGATACAGTCAGTGCTAATTTCGCCTTTTACAAACGACACTGTACGTTCATTGAGTCCCAGAACGTGTGTGAGCACTTGTTTGTTCTCCTTTGCAATACACCCAAGGGACCCATATATTAATGCTTGCTCTGACACCTTATACCCACGTTTTTCTTAGTAAGTCTTGAGGCTTTGATACATTTCTTCTTTCTGGAGACGAACTGATCCAAAGGAATTTTTCTGGTAGTCTTTAAACACAATAGCTACATCAGCTACCGCGATTCGCCTGTTTTTGTCGTCCATAAGAATGATGTCCGGCCTCTGTAGGATCTCCATATCCGCTGGACTGTTATCTATTTGTGAGGTCTTGTCCCGATTCACCATGCTGGGCTTGATTGCTGTTGTAATCCTCTCCAAAGCCTTGTTATGTCGTTCTTTGACTTTGTTGTCAAGGTTGGGAGGACAGTGATTGAGCGCATGCGCAAGTGTTTCCGCCCTTCTTACACCAGTACCCCATGTCTGGACATCCTGCGACGTCGGCAGGCGTTATCGAAGCGCACGCCACACTCAAAGAAAACAACGATCGGTAGGCTTTTCTATTATGCCAGGTTCCCCTAACATTAATATCAATAACCAGAGGGCGCCGGCTTTCCCCTAACATTAATATCAATAACCAGAGGGCGCCGGCTTACCAGATGCCTTGCAGATGTGGGAGTGTTCTTCTCTATCCCACCAAGTCAGTCATTTACCGTATGGCCCCGGAGCAACTCCAAGCCCATAAGCAGGAGATAGCCAAACTAATTAATAACGGCTGCATAGGACCCACCCACTCTCCTATTTGTGCACCTACAATTATGGTGGACAAACGGATGACGGCTCAGGTGAACGCAAGATGAGGATGGTGGCAAACTACAGCGAGGTTAATGCGCCATATACTGCTCCTGGTTTTCCTCTTACACCTGTTTCTACGATTTTAGAAACGCTTCGGGGAGCTACGTTTTTCTCCATCTTGGAGCTGGAGGCAGGATACCACCAGATATGAATGGCCAAGGAAAATCGATGGAAAACTGCGTTTCGTTCTGTCGTAGTGCTTTTCGAATACAAAGTCATGCCCTTCGGGCTAAAAGTAGCTCCAGCAAATTTTCAGGCCAACATGCGTACTTGCAACCCCTATTGAGGCAGGTTGTCATTGCGTACCTCGACGATATACTGGTTTATAGTCCGGACCTACCTACCCATGTTGATCTTGTCCGGCAAGTGCTGGATATTCTACTCCGCCAACAGTTCTACCCTAAATTTAGTAAATGCAAGTTTGCTAGAAGTGAACTTACGTATTTAGGGTATACGCTCAGCGTGGAGAGAACTAGGCCCGCCGTGGACAAAATTTCAGCCATTAAGCTATGGCCGGAGGTTTTAACCGATGAAGTGCAAGTACAATTCTTGGGAACTGTAAATTACTGCAGAATGTTTATGGGACCAGATTTCGCAACAGTTACCCTCCCACTTGTGAACCTCATCCGAAGGGGGGCCACTATTCAGTGGACCGAAGAACACACGAAGGCGGTCCGCAAGCTGAAGCAGCGTCTCATCGACTACACAATTTTACAGATTCCCGACACCTCGAAGCCTTTTCAGCTGTATATAGACGCCTCGGGATATGCTGTGGGGGCAATCCTAGAGCAAGGAGGACGTCCCATAGGATTTCTGAGCCAGGCGATGACACCGACACAGGCGAGATATCCTATTTACGATCAGGAACTTCTGGCGATTGTGTCTGCCCTCGCGAAGTGGGCACATCTCCCGGGGGTATCCAAAGTAACAGCCTTTACGGACCACCAGGCCCTCACGTATTTGCAACAACTTAAAGCCTTTAAACCCTTACGATGCTGTACGGCCCGTTGGTTGGCCTTTCTTGCGGAATTCCCTGACCTTACGGTAACCTACTAGCCAGTACGCAATCAAGTAGCCGATGCCCTGTCTCGTCCTCCAGGTGAAACTTTTTTACCCAACACTGCCACCTCGGCCCCAGGCGCTGACAAGGCAACACAGAGGGTAGTCGCGTCGATAATGCCAATAGCCGACCGGGTAGTTGCTCCCGCAAGGACCAGAGGGCGGTGTGCGAATTACCGGGAATTAGCGGGACTCCCAGGTCAAGTGTCTCGCAAACGACAGGCGACACCGCCGTCTCCTCCAACGACAACGCCTCCACGCCTCGGGGAAGTGACCCCGCTTCCGTAGACCCAGCCCCAGGGGAACCACAACCGACGAATTCACCAGTAACAGAGTTTTTGCAGCTAAAACAAACGCGGCCATCTCATTCCCCTTCCCTGGATTGGACAGCAGCTTATCCCAAGTGCCCTATTTTTCGCGCTCCCTATCAAGAGGCTGCGTCTAAAAAGGGGGGAGTAGTGCAGGTCAAGTTCCAACATCGTAGACATCACTTCCGCTTTATTACACCCTATTTACAAATTTGTGTCAACGGCATTTGGTTGACTTGCGTGCCACAATTTCCAGAATTCCTTACCCGTGTCCTGTACGAGCATCACGATCATGTTACTGCAGAACATAGAGCCAGAAGAAAACATACCTGACCTCAAGTAGAAGGTATTATTTTCAAGGAATGCGAGCTTACACTACCTCCTATGTTGAATCATGCGTCCAATGCCGTGCATATAAGTCCCTCAACCAGAAGCCTGCAGGTCTCTTACGCTGATGATCCTATCACGACGGAGGAGTCACGTCGGCCTGGATTTTATCACTGACCTACCTCTTGCAACCTCAGGGAATGATGCTATCATCGTTCTTGTTGATTCTCTTAGCACGATGGCGCACTTCATTCCCACCAAGAAGACTCTTACAGCAGCGGACTCTGTGCAGATACTCGCAGACCGGTTGATCCGATACCATGGATTCCCAGATATGCTCATTTCGGACAGAGACCCTCTATTTCAGTACGAGGTATGGTCGCAACTATGCTCGCGCTTTAACATCACAAGAGCTCTGTCGTCTCCCTGTCAGCCACAGACGGATGGCCAGACGGAATGCGTGAATCGTACGCTCGAGCAAATGCTACGTACGTCTATTCAAACTGATGAACGAGAGTAGTAAGGCTTTTTGCCAGCTCTAGAATTAGCTTATAATACAACGCCCCACTACGTAGCTCTCGCCGTTTGAGGTCATGATAGGCGAAAATCCGGTGACTTCAGCGGACTTCGACCTTTTTGGGGCTTTGTCACCCACCCTGACCCCTCTTCCATCAACTGTGTGATCGGGCACGTAGCCATATATTGCAAGCAAAATGGCGACAGAAGTTCTATGCGGACTCTAGGCGTAGAGAGGTGGAATACAATATGGGCGGTCAAGTGTGGCTCAGTGGAAAACATCTATCTGGTCTTATTCATCGTTCTAAATTTGAACCCAGATACCAAGGGCCCTTTACCATTTCTGAACGTATAAGTAGAGTAGCCTACCGCCTTGCTCTACCTCCTGCATATGAGGGGCACAACGCTTTTCATGTGTCTCAGCTAGTAGCCCATCACCCTCGTGAGCAAGCTCAAATTCCGCAGGAAACACCCGTTGGCTGGCCTCCTACTCGTGACGATGCTGGAAATCCTGCGGATCACTACCTACTAGACTATGTTGTAGATCAGCAGGGGACGGGAGCATCCGCTTTTATTCCCGTGAAATGTGCGAGGCGCTCCCCAGGACCGGGATACGTGAGAACCCTCCCACCACCTAGCTGGTTGCCCCGCTCTCGTGAGAGCATGGCGCAAGCGGCAACGTAAACGTCAACGCGACCGACAACGGCACGAGAGACCCGACGCTCCTCCCAACGGCCTCCCCGATTGACACCCCCTTAGTGTTATTGTTACATGCATAGCTCCCGCACCACTGCTCATTCACGTTCCACATGTGTGGTTCGTTAGTATCTTCATCTATGGTTTGTTTTCTTGTGTCTTAGTTCAGGATTAGGAATGTATTGTGACTAATATAGCAGTACACAGGTAGCAACCAAGTCTCGAGTGATAGTCACAAAGGGGGCTGACTTTGTTGGGAAGGGGGGAAGTTGTAGTGCACACGCACTACAATGTGGCCCTGGTGGTATCTCACGTAGCTCAGCGACCTTAAATAGAAGGAATATGACATTAGTAACTAAGAAAAGGAATTAATGCTACTAAATGTTCTAAGAGTGGAGTCGTAGATAGAACCGTAGGTGAGTTGGGTTGCCCCCGCCGGCAGCCACCAACGGCGACTTAATGCGCGGCCGTCCTAGGTCACGCCTACTAGTGGTCGCGTAGTCCTTACTCCCAAAGAATAACCTTTGACTACCAAAATCCCCCGAAGTCTACAGCACAAATAGCAAATCATTTTAGGGACTCTGTAATAATAATGCGAGTTCGTAGAATAAAAGAACTGCGATCCGAATTGACCCCGGTCATGGCTGGGTGCCAGTGCCCGGGTTACCGGATGGCGGGGTGAATCTCAATGGTGGTGGAACGGCCAGGCGCCTGACCTAGACCTCCGCCAAGGTCGTAATTATGGACATAATACATATATATACTTATGCTTCTATCACCTATCTAATTAGACATCTGAAGGAACCTCCCTGGTACCCGAGTGGTGGAGTGGCTGCCGGCGAGGGTAATCCTACTAGCGTATAGCCCTATCTACGGCACTCGGTTCTTAGAACCTCTAGCAGTATTAATTGCCTTTCTTAGTTTTAATGTGATAATCCTTCTTTGTATGACGAGTAGGCTTCTAGGAACCTTACCAGAGCCCTATTGCAGTGCCTGTGCACTATAGGCAGTGTGACGCACTACCTAACCACCACTTGGGTACCAGGTAGACACCGTAGAGATCTAAGTGGATAGGAACTAGAATTATTTTCTATAAAAGGTGTTATATCTGTAATGACGATTTAGGAGGAGTTCTAGTTCAGGCTCTTGACCTTCCACCGCCATTGGTATCTCCCCGTCATGCTATAGCTTGGGCGCTGCCGCCACTACGACCGGGGGTCAAATTCACACACAGTTCTTTTGTCTACGAACTCGTCTTATTATTGACAGTGACTCAAATCATGATGTGATAAATCCACTAGGGGCTTTGGCGGTTAAAGTACGTCCAGAAGTCAGGTACTACGCGACCGTGTAAGTAGGTCCAGCCAGCACGGCTGCGCACTACAAGGAACGTGGAGCTAAGGTACCACGTTGAGAGGGTACCTCCCTTAAAACTGCACACTCGCGTGTCCTGCCTTTATTTTTTATAATACAAGGCAAATTTGTTTTCGAAAAGTGACGGAATATGAAAGATTTCATGTATGGACGGAGACAGACAAACTGGAATGAGGTGCTCCGATTTAACCGCAACACATTCTGCTGTCTTGCATTGATGCTTTGAGATCACCTTCCTGTATCGTTTACCTGAATAGATTTGCAAAATGCTTGGGCACACCCCACTTTTCACAGCCTCCACGGCATTTTTAGCGGCTGTGGCTGCCACGGGTCACCCACCAGGCGTTCATGGTGCCACTTCCGATGTCATTTTCTCGCACAGTGAAGCCCCAATTACGGATCATATTGCCTCGCCGCTGGGACGGAGCGAGATACGCAGGAGATCGCCGCTTGTAACAATCGCTCTCCTGGCTGCCACAGTTGCTGCGGTGTTTTTGGTCCATCTCTGCCTCGTGGCCCTGAACAAGAGCAAACATAGGAGCAGCTTTGGCGTGAATGAGCGGAAGCTTGCGAGCGGAAATTCGGGTGGCTCAGGAGTGAATCAGGGGAGGCCTAGGAGGTCATTTTTGCATGGAACGCCGTGCGAAGTAGGTCTCGGCAAACTCATGCTGTGCAAGGGCGCAGACCAAAAAATTCCCAACTCACGAGGTTTAAGTGAATGCCTGATGGTTAGTAGGCAACCGGGATATTCAAGGGGATCTTAGGAACTGATGTGTACTACGTTTTGAGGATCGTCAGCAGCAAGGGAATTCCCGCAGTAGTGTTCGCGAATCACCCCAAAGGCTTAAATGCGAGGCTTGCAACGAGGAAAAGACGCCTTAAGGGGGAGTTGTCGACACAGCATTATAGATCGTCAATGAGTTGTATTGGTTAGTGGCGAGCAAAGTGCAGTATTTTTGCCTCTGGCGGATATAGGGTGTTATTGCTACCGTAGCTTGGCGCATGTAGTCGTGTAAGTGGCGGTGGGGAGGGTTCAGCACGTGCTCATCATGAAGTAAGCAATCTTTTAAGGCGTGTCCACTATTCAAGAAATTGGTGGTTTTCTGTTGTACACTTGTAGACGTTTGGTCAATTTGGTTGTTCTCTGCTCCCGTCGTGCCCCTATACCGCGCGAGATGCGACCCAAACAAAATTTGAGTTACAGCGCACCTGGTATGTGCCATGTGGGTGCGTGGTGCCGAAGCTTTGAGCATTTGTGATATCCCGATTGGGATGCACTATATGCAAGGGTTGCCTCGGGTTCTTCAAATGTGCGGAATTACTGTCAGCGGGAAGAACAGGACCCGCGAAGCGCAAGCGGCCACTAACGCAACGGACGACGCAAGTGGTGTAATTATGCATAAGCCTGCAAAGCAAACCGCAGAACATGCAGTGAATTGTGCAACTGTTGTGCAGGTACGCATTAGTACATCACAAAAACTGACGACGTCAATCAATTACAAAGGCAGTATGTGTGCAGCGCGATATGTCGTGGCGGCACCAACTCCTCGGTGCTTTAGATCAAGCGCGTGGTAGAATCTGTGCCAATCCAGTTACACATGGCAATTTATCCTCGGAGAACAGGAACGCGGGAGCCCCGACAAACGGGGCGGCCAACACAAATTGTATGCATGCAGAAGGAGCCTCCACAGGAGGATGCCGGACCCTGATTGCAAATTTTATCCACTGGTTAGCTCATCAGAGGGCGGAACGGAACACCCACGCGTTCTGGGCTGATTTACCTAGAGCAGTCGAGCCCTCTTGCCTTCTAAGTAGGGGCAAGCTAGCAGATTGTCACAATGCGCGTTCACGCTAGCTTCAACGTGCCAGAGCTTTCGTACAACCGGCCTAGAATTATTAGTGAATGGCGATGTACTGCACACCTTGGCCCACATGCGAGGTGTATATTTTTCCGCCTGAAATCTCTCGATTGTCTTGGTTGTATGGTTTGACGAGAATGCCCGGCAATGAGGGAGCTTGCCCTCTTTGGCGAGGGCAACCCACGCAGCCAGCTGTATCATCTTGCTGTTGTTAGTGAGCTTGGACAGAGCTATCGTTTGGTGATTAAACTATATTCTGTGTACTGCTAGGATTATATCGCAGTATTTGGAAGAGCAGTGAGGATAGTGTGTGTGCGGGCATGGTGAGACTTTGCAGTTTGCCTGCGAGCGTCATTTGGCATGTTGCGGACAAACCTCCCGGGTTACGATTTTGGTGCATGCCGCGCTTAGGACCTGGGACGCTGTGTCGCTAGTCTTAAGCACACCGAACACATTCATCCTCCCGGTGCGGTCATCGGTACTGTTACGTGTCAGATTGCATGCAAGGGAGGAAGGCTTCAGTGCATGCGTGCACCTCTGCAGGCGATTGGCAATGCGTTATTCGCAGTTTTATTGGGAATGGGCGTGGACAAAGTTTGGCATTATCGAGCATCGGTCCGCGAGGCTGAGTTTGCCACGGTAGCTGATCTCAGTCGACTGGATCAGCAGGATATATTTATGAGGGTTGTCGCGGTGTGCTGCTAGCCACACTATAGGGTATTTGTACGACGTGTCCAAAATAATTGGAGGATAATGTGGAACTGGATGCCTTGTCCCACATGCACGATGAATATTTTGCCCCATTAAAATGCATTAGACCTTTGTTGGTTTAGGCAGGGATGCCGGGCAACGAGGGTGCCTTGTGGCATTGGCGCCTCACGCAACCAGATGTAACATTGATATTGAGTGTGAAGACTGCAAGCTTTCCCCGATAAAAGTGAGTTCCGTGTGGTTTTAGGACTATTTTGCAATATTTGGTAGAGGCGTGGTTATAGTGCTTGTGCGAGTATCGTGGGATTGTACAATGTGCATGCGCGCGTCTGTAGGTGTAGTGTGGAGAAAACTTTTATCGGGT